CTCGTTCTGCATGCTAGAGGACGCTTTCGGCTGGAATGCACACCCTCTCCCTACCATATTCCTTTCTTCAGATTCTCGAAGCGGGCACTGCTTCCTGTCCCAACCTGGACAGTCCGCGGGAGGTGGCCAACACTTTTCGGCTAGACAGAGATGCGCGACCCTCTCGCCATGATGCCCTGCACACCTTCCGAGCGCTGTTCTGCCGGCGCTGTTTCAAGTACGACTGCGCCCTTCATCCCTACAAGTCCACACAGACCATGTGGAGTCATCGTTGGTCCGTAAAGGCCGCTGGCCCTACATGTACGTAACCTCCCAACTGACATCCTTAAATTAATGCGGGAGATGAGAGATGCGAATTTAGGAGCAGTACCTGTTTTTTTATTCAGCCGCACTATGCTTTTCCACCATTTTTAAAACTTCTAGTTTTCAACTATTGCATACTACTATCGCGGAGAGTGCCTTCACTGATGGGATTACGGTACGTGCTGTTTCGGTAAATAATGCACAGTATACTGAGACCCAGTGATTCGCACGTCACGTACCCACATGGTCTTCCTAAGCTGCCCAAAGCTGATCGGGCGCTACGAGCCCTAGCACCTAGTTAAGGATAGCCCAAGTGGTTTATATTATGGCAGTGGAAGGGTGTTCACCAAGCAGGTTATGAGACATGCTCGACCCGTTGTGCACTGGAACTCAATCAAGAGATCTCACAGTCACATATCGATTAGTAGTATATAGGAAAAAAAGACACGAACAAGGAACACCGAAATGACCATTTCTGGTTTATTAGCTGCCGCCAGCCCGTAATACCCAGCCTCAGGTGTGCATAACCGGAGGTTCGAGCACAGAATCTTTGGTCATTGAGTGCAACACTACCACTGAGCCAGGGGTCCGTTGTTTTTGTCGGTTACAATCGGGAAGATGGTGATAGTAGAGCGCTCAACGATCTGGTTACAGAACATGTATGTCACATTGTCTTGGAGCTCACCTTAGAGCCCTTGCAGACAGTCACATAGTGACCTATAGTGATACCTAAGAGTATGACCGAAAAGACAGGAGGGGCGACTGAGGTGGCTGTCTTCAGCTAGCCCTACCTGTTTGTACTCTTCTGCTTATCTTGTTTCTCATTGCTAGTAATAAATCAAAACTTTAAAGAAACACATTTTGCCTGAAATTTGCATCTCGCTCAGATTTGCATGCGCTTACTTTAGTTTGATCTTCTTTCCCAAAGA